ATGATGAAGTTTTAGCTGAATTTTGCTGAAATCTAAGAATTCTACATGCATTTCAATGGGACAAAAAAAACGCAGAAAAAGCTGAATATCGCAAAAACTACAAAAAATATATTTACCAAAAGACAGAGCATAATTCTCCTAAACAAGCTGAACGTTTTGATACCAAAATTGTTGAAATTGGTTGAAAACTGCGGGACTAGTTAAAGTCAGAAAAATAAAAAGTGAACAACAATAAGTGGGAATGCATAAGCAAAAATCCAGGAGACATCAGGGAAAACACACATTAAGGGCAAAGAAAGGAGGAGGAGCCAGCGAACAGGAGGTGTATATATGGGAGACGGGAACAAAAACCAGGCTAATCAGCAGAGTGGGAGCAGGTGTGAACAGAGGGATCTAGAGGGGAGCCAGGGACAGACAGAAGAGGGAGAAACAAGAAATACATAAGAACTCCAATACATCCAGAAAAAAACAAACACAAAATGGGTATTAAACCATAAATCTAAAAAAAACACACCAAAAAGGCACCTTTAAGCAATCCACATTTGTTTTGTTGTTGATTTTATCTTTATGCCGTCCAAGTTGAATAACCCCTATGAATTTATTGGTTGTTTCTAAAACTGACTTTTTTTTTCATTGTAACCTAAAATATCTAGACTTTGGATCCTTTACACATGATCTGACGATCATGATTCACAAATACACAACTGCTGAAGTTGTTAAAGTTCAACCATTTTAGGATCTATTCCTGGTATAGCTATCCTCGCAATAAAAAGAGTTGATATTCAACTTTATATGGTTTATGGCATTACAGCAGTGACCAAATGGAAGTCATTGGGTATATTCTATATTATTCTGAGGTTCAGCAGCCGAAATGCTGGAACCCTGAACTGGTTGAAGCCCCTGTTAGTCCTCCTCATACTCTGGAAAGACTTGTCTTTTGCTGTCGATCTTCAAATGGAGTTATTCTCTTTTGGATACTGCTCTGCAAGTGGGCTTGTATCGTGCCACAAGGAACTGAACATATTTCCCTTTCTTTATTCCATCATATAATTTTATTTCCCTGAATGTGTATTACTTGAACCTTTACCTTCACATGAAAATACTCACATCCTTTGATTCCACCCACAGACTTCTAAGTCAACACACCCTTTGGTATACAAGGACCCTTTTGTGAAACCTCATATGTTGTCCGCCTTCCTCCTTCCTCTCCAAAAATCCCCAAACTGAGACTTGACCTCTCTAAACTGCTTCTGACTCAGTTATCTGCACACATGATGTTAAACTAAGATTATTCAAAGTTCAGTTAATAGTTTAAAAAACTTGTCATATGCACAAAAAGATGTCATTTCATATCATTATTTTTATTTGTTCAAATGTTTACACAAAATTATTTAAAAAATACAATAATTTAATGTTAGTGAGTAACGTTTGGATGGCTTTTCTATTAAATTAAAGGTGCAAAGAGAAAGATCAGCACATTGCATTCAGACTTTTTTAAATCTTCAGTCACTTTTCAGGCTTAATGATATCAAGGTTTAATTGTCTTTTTGAATATTTATTAACTGTGGCATGAAACATGGAAAGATCACACCATCTCATATTTTGGGCTTTAATTACCTTTCATAACAGGTAAAGGGAGAATTATTGAGGAGGATAGAGAAGCAACTTATATTCAAGTTAAGAGAAAGAAAGGAGACATACAGAAAGGTGAGGATCAAGCTAACATAGAACAATACCAGAGATGTTTGGTCAGATATGAAGATCACAGGCTTCAAGCAGAAGGATGAAAGATTGAGGTTTGGACAAAGGCAATGGACTAAACGAATTCTTTAATAGGTTCAGTACAAAAGCAAGGTTAAGATCCTTCTGTCCTGCTCACAATCAAATTTATATTGTGTCCTTCTTTGACCCTGTCTCCTACTAGGCTTTATTATTAAACTTTAACCAGGAAAACATCCCATTGAGATCAAAAACCTCTTTTACAAGGTCCTGGCCAAGGAAGCAAAGTTACATACTGAACAGAAATACATACAATCAAATGACAGGTACATAAAAAAAAACATGTCAAGTAAAAAAATTACAGATAATTGAAGTAATTACAAATTCTTTCATTTTGAGCTTAAAAGCATTTAAGGATAAAAACCCAGTCAACTTCCAGTCTCTTTGTAAGAAATACCACACACAAGGAGCTGCATGGCTAAAGGCTTTCTTCCCTAGCTCTGTGCGGACAAAAACAGTGAGCAACAGCTGATCATTGGATTTCGGGGCATAAGAGGCCATACTTTTCTGTATAAGGTACAAATGTAAAAGGGAGGTAATCCAATAAGGGCTTTGTAAATAAAAGTATACCAATGACACTGCCTCCTTGTAGAGAGGGAATGCCATCCCAGCCGAGAGTACAGGTCACAGTGATGTGTCAGTGTTCTACAGTTTGCCTTTACCTTCCACCTCTACCATGAAACGTCCTACTTCTATGTGTTTGTGCTCAAACAAATGAAAATATTGTGCTGCTCCTCTTTTCTAGTTGTTGTTACCCAGGCCATGCGGCTGAACATTATGCTAAGAAAGAAATTGGACAAAATGTCACAGCAGACTCCTCATTAAGCTCCAGAATTTCATGTGGTGAACAGGAAAGGTCAGGTGTCTTGGCAAAGAAAAAAATCAAACCCTGGTGAATTTCAGAGTAAAATCAATCCACCAAACTAACTAATTTGACAAATGAGAAAAATAGCTGGGCCAGTCTTATCATAACTTCTTGACTGTGATTTTTTTCCACCATTCCCGCCCAACAGCTCACACTGATTTTAGTATGAGCAAGACGTAAGACACTATGTCCAGATATTGGCACCCCCATTCAGTCCAGTCGGCAGAACTTTGCAGAAATATTCGGGCTACTTAGTCATTGGGTTTATGAAAGTTGGACAAGAAGCTGAGTACAGGAAGCTGGTAAACTGCTTTGTGGCATAATATGTAAACAATAATCTTCAAGTTTGATAAAGCCATGGAGATGATTGTAGATTTAAGTAGAAAAAGAAACAAGTCAAAATAACAGCTTATAACATCTACAATCATTTGTTGAGGAAAAGGATTATGACAACATTTATTTCCTTTTTGAAATGCTTAGGTTCAACAATATGTTTTACACTGGATAACACCAGACGTATATCATGAGTTAAACCTCTTGATTGAAAAAATTCAAATGAACAGATGTTTTTCTCCACTAGATATTAAAAACATAAGAAATCACCTATGTTAATATTTCTACAGAGAGGGATGTTTTTAATAGAATAGAATTTTCTTCCTTATACAGATTCCTGATTACCGTTAGTATAAAGCCTGATGGGGATGAACTGTTCAGTCTGTCCTGTTAGTACAATTTGTCATATTTCATGAAATGACACAGCCAGTTTTTTCATCCATTTCAGTCAAAAGCTGCTGAATCAGATCACTTAGCTCTTTGTTGTGTTCTTCCCCCTGTTTTTTGATTTCTTGTAGACTTTTGGCCTTTTTCATTTCTTCTTCTTGTTTTGACAGCATGTCCTTCAGTTTTTTCACATTCTCTTTCTTTTTAGTGATGCATTTCACCAAATCAGCAATTTCTTTTCTGTGTTTGTTGTCATTCATGTCTTTGAGGGCCCTTAGCATATTATACTTCTCATGCTGCTGTAGCATCTGAGCTGCAAATTCTTTAAAATATTTGTCTTTAAATTCATTGAGCTCTTCAGCTTTCTTCCTGGCTTCTTCCTCATATCTTTCTTTAAGTTTGTCTAACTCCTGCCTGTACACATCATCCAGTTTCTGTATGTCCATGACCTCCTTCTCTTTTCTTCTTTCATCCTCCTCCTTTTGTTTTGTATAATCTTCTTTTATCTTTACATAATCCTGTTTAAGTCTTTCGTTTTCCTTTTCCCTCTTTTTGTCCTCTTTTTCCCATTTATGTCTTAAAGTTTCCATCTCTTTTTCCAAGGCTTCTAGAGTTTTCTTTTTACCTTTTGATTGGTTTTGGTCGTTCGCATAGTAATGAGCAAATTCTTTAGATAAACTTGCTGATTCAAAAGCATTCATCAAGGCTTCTTTCTCATCTTTCCATTTAGCTTCTTCCTTTGTTCTCCGTACATGTTCTTTAATTTTTTCTTCTTCAGCCTGCTGTAGCTTTTTCTCAATCTCCTTAATTTTGTCTTCTTTCTCCTTCATCTCATTTTCAGATTTTGCTCTTTCTTCCTTCATTTTTCTTTCCATCTCCTCCTTCTCCTGTAGATGTCTTTCTTCTAATTCTGTTTTTTCTCTCTGCATTTCTTCATCTTTCTCCTTAAGGATTTGTTGAATTTGGTTCTGTATGGCTGTTTCAGCCTCTTGCAGCATCTCATTTGTAAAGCATCCATTTTTAGCCACCAGGTTGTCAATCTTTCTGATCAGCTCTATAACCTGTCTGCGGTTTTGAGTGTCATTGTTGTCAAACATATGGTATCCCCCACAGTCGTCAATAATCTTTTTGAAGGAGTCATCACAGTTTTTTTCTACATAATCATCTATGGACTGCTTATCCTTTATCATATCTCCTCTGGTAAAAAGGATGATGGTGTACTTTTCAGAATTCCCCCCAAAACCTTCTTTAATAAGTTTTAATGTCTGTTTCTCTTCTGGTGTGAGTCTTCCTCCTATTGGTACCACTACCAGGAAGACATGTGGACCCGGTGCCAGAAGGCTAAGACATTTGACCAATTCTAGCTGCACTTCTTCTTGTGTTAAACTGTCATCAAACAAACCAGGAGTGTCCACCACAGCAACAGGACGGCCCTCCACCTCACCCATTGATTTCTTACAATTTTTCGTGATTGATTTTTGGCTTATGTCAGCTTCAAACTCTTTTCTACCAAGGATAGTATTTCCTGAAGAGCTCTTCCCGCAACCAGTCTTCCCAATCAGAACTATCCTGAGGCACTCGTTTGTCCACTTGTCTTTATCTCCTGTAACAGAAGAACCAAAGCTCAGCTTACTCAGAAATAGTAGCAAATAACTTCCCTAGAATGCAAGGAAGTAACAAAAATAACTATAGCTTTTTTAATTTATGCACGAATTAAAATATTTACTTAACAGATTAGCAATTTGATTTTAGGTATATTGATAATGGCAGAGCAGTGAGAACAAGATCTGCTTCAGCTCAACAGAGACACATTCAAAACATGCAAGGCAGTGGTACTTGAGGACCAGGTCTGGGAACTACTGTTGTAGAAGACATCACACAGCATAGCTGCTTTTGCAGCAAATTTGGACTTTTTTCAGCTATTTATGTAAATACTTTTCCGCAGTTTTTCACATTTGATCTCTTTTCTTGCCCAGTGAATAGCATAGCTTTATAGACCCTGATATCAAATAGGACTTTTTTTGACTGCCATCACTGGTGATGAAGACAGTTACTGGGAACAGAAATAAAATAAACAGTTTACCAATGGCAGCCAGAAGGATCCCACAGAGGGATGGTGAAACGGCTTTCTCGAACTCAGGATGGTCCCACATTGTCTAACACTGGCTCACATTTACACTTGGGTGGAGGGACCTTACACTTGGTATCACAACAATTCCTCTCTAACTACACATGGAGACTTTTATTAAAATAGTCCATCATGAAAAAACCTTCCTGGAGAATCTGAAGTGATAACCAACTGAACAGGAATGCAGAAACTCTGGCCAAACTTCTGTAACACCAAGGACTGTAGGGGCCTCACCAAGCTGGCCTACTTGGTTATGGACAGTTCATGTCTAAATACCCATCAATCTGCCCTCAACTGCAATAACACAGGAATAACTATAGACTCTATAACGTGGGCTAAAAACATTTATATTGTTAAAAATTCCTCCCATCAGTCAAAATATGTGATACCATTTTTTTATTCTAATGATTTTCTATCATTACCTAATTTGCATATTATATGTAAATGGCAGTACAAAGATTGCAAAATCTGATAAATCTACAAAGTAGCCAAGTAAGATCATTTATTTAAATTGCAAATGATTCAAGTGTTTAAGATCCTACTTTGCTCACTGAAGATGAAAAAAAATGACCTTAAAAAAAAAACAATTCTCTCTTTTTTTAATTCTTGTTTTAGAATACGTACCACTGGACCCATAAGATTTTGTCTGTAGTCCGGAGAAGTTTTCCTCTTGTTTTAAGATTTTATCCAAGTATGCTTCAAAGAGGGTTTCTATTGTGTAGCAGCTTTGTTCCCTTTTCCCTACAAAATCTATTACTTTAGAGAACTGCTTCTTGTCACTGCTCTTGACAACAATGTATCTTTTTCCACATCTCTTAATTAGCTCTTTGATGTTCTTATCTTTTTTAAGACACTTAACCACATCTGGATGTTCAGGATCCAAATCTGTGGTGAACAGAATCATTGTGTTGTTGTCGACCCTAGAGCTGAAGGTGTCCTGGATGGTCTGTAACTCTCCCTTGTCTTCATCAGTGAGGGAACCCACAGGTAGGACCAGGATGAAGGCGTGGACACCCTCAGTATCACAGAGGGAGATACACCTGAATGATTCCTTCATCTTTTCCTGCTGAGGTTTTCCATACAATGCAGGCAGATCCACCAGAGAAACCCAACGTCCATGCACCTCTCCCTGGTTTCTAACACACTGTGATGAGCTGAAGGCTGAAGGAAGATCTGTCTGACCTAGAATGGCCTTGGCTGCTGAGGTCTTCCCTGCTCCTCGTCTCCCACAAAGAACCAGATTTAAGGATGTTAGAGACTGGTCACATTTTGATGCTTCATCATCTTTAATGCTAAGGAAGGCACTCCTGTTTCTTTTCACAATATCTTCAATTTTCTCCATTAATTTCTGGTGATTATTTTCAGTAAGGCTGTACTGTCTACCCTCACATTCTCTGATTAGTGAATTAAAGGCAAAACTTGTTGCATTCAATTCTTCAGTTATGATGACCATTGAGTGTTTAAAGGCATTCTCTCCAAACAACCTAAGGGTGGCCTTCAGAAACCTGCTGTCCTTCTCTGTGAAGTCTGAAGGATTCACCAAGAGCAGGAGAACATTTGGTCCAGGAGGACAAAGATTGACACAGCTTCTAATGTCCTCTTTTAGGACTTTTCCCATCTGACTTTCTGAAGGTGTCCAAATAGTTAAGAACTTTCCTTTCCATAATCCCTGCTCCACTAGATTGGTTTGAAAAGTTGTGGATGAAATGTTCAGAATTTTTTTCTGTAGGACAAAGTTACATAGTTGTGTCTTGCTTGAGATAGTTCCTCCAAACAGCATAATCCTAAGACCTCGGCCTGTGAAGCACAAAAGCATAAGAAAACACAATGAACATAAATAAATCTGAAGTGTCTAACACAAGCTGTACCAACCAAATCTAAAGTGATGCAATAATCTGTTCACATCTTTCATTTAATAAGACTTTCCCACACTGAGTTGGAGTCAGTCAGCCTCCCAACATGCCGATGTATGTTCCACACAATGTGTGTGAAGCTACTGTACATTTTATCATTCAAATTAAAACTCTTAGAGTAGGACACATTTGTCTGAAAATAGTAGGTAGGTACTTATTCACTACTTAACCTGCTTGGAAATAACAGTTGGTCAGAGAAGAGAATGATCAAATATTCAAGCTTCTAAGCTCTGCATTTAACCCAACCGCTTGGGGAGCGGTGGGCTGCAATTATGGGGCGCCCAGGATGCAGTATGGGGTTAATGGTCTTTTTGCTTAGGGTCGGGCTTGAACACAGAACCTCCGAATTGTTGAAGAGGAAAAAAATGTTTTATTTCTTAATTAATTCTGTGTATTCTAACATTTTTAGCTAGTTCTTCCATACTTCTTTCTCTCACTTCGCAATGACTTTTATAGCCGACATGATGTGACTCTAAAGAGTTTGCTAACTTGGCTAAAAAGTAAGGGGACAGGTGGAGACTGAGGGCTGAAAGAGATTTAAAAAAATAAACCAAAGAGCTCTCATAGCCAATTGGTAAATTTAATACAACCAAAAGATCAATTATTTCATTTATACATGTTCATTGTACATTCATTTGTATATTGTACCGAAGGGTGTCTTCCAACTACAGAGGACTCACACTCTTAAGTCTCCCTGGTAAAGTCTATTCCAGGGTTCTGGAAACAAGGGTCCATAGGATAGTCGAATCTCGGATTCAGTAGGAGCAGTGTGGTTTTCGTCTTGGCCGTGGATCACTGGATCAGCTCTATACCCCTTAGCGGGATCCTGGAGGGTGCATGGGAGTTTGCCCAACCAGTCTACATGTGTTTTGTGGATCTGGAAAAGGCATTTGACCATGTCCCTCGGGGGGTCCTGTGGGGGGTACTCCGGGAGCACAGAGTACCGGACCCTTTAATAAGGGCTGTTAGGTCTCTCTATGACCTTTGTCAGAGCCTGGTCCGCATTGCCACGAGTAAGTCGGACCTGTTTCCGGTGAGGGTTGGACTCCGCCAAGGTTGCCCTTTGTCACCGATTCTGTTCATAACTTTTATGGACAGAATTTCTAGGCACAGCCAAGGTGTTGAGTGGATCTGTCTTGGTGGCCTTAGGAATGCATCTTTTTTATTCGCAGATGATGTGGTTCTATTGGCTTCATCAGGGCATGATCTACAGCTCTCACTGGAGCGGTTCGCAGCTGAGTGTGAAGCGGCTGGGATGAGGATCAGTGCCTCCAAATCCGAGACCATGGCCTTGAGCTGGAAAAGGGTAGAGTGCCGTCTCCGGGTTTGGGAGGATGTACTGCCCCTTGTGGAGGAGTTTAAGTATCTTGGGGTCTTGTTCATGAATGAGGGGAAGATGGAGCAGCGTCTGCTGTGAAGCAAGCCCTGTACTGGTCTGTTGTGGTGAAGAGAGAGCTGAGCCAAAAAGCAAAGCTCATGATTTAGTGGTCAATCTACGTTCCTACCCTCATCTATGGTCATGAGCTTTGGGTCATGACCAAGAGAATGAGATCCCGGATACGAGTGGCTGAAATGAGTTTTCTCCGTAGTGTGTCTGGGCTCTCCCTTAGAGATAGGGTAATGAGCTCAACCATTCGGGGAGGACTCAGAGTAGAGCCGCTGCCCCTCCACATTGAGAGGAGCCATTTGAGGTGGCTCGGGCATCTGATTAGGATGCCTCCTGGACGTCTCCCTGGTGAGGTGTTCCAGGCATGTCCCACCGGGAGGAGGCCCAGTGGGAGACCCAGGACACGCTGGAGGGACTATGTTTCTCGGCTGGTCAGGGAGCGCCTAGGGATTTCCCTGGAGGAGCTGGACCAAGTGGCTGGGGAGAGGGACGTCTGGGCCTCCCTACCGAAGCTGCTACCCCCGCTACCCGGCTCTGGATAAGCGGAAGAGGATGGATGGATGGATTGTACATTCATTTCATGAATTAAAACAGGCTTGCACTAGTGTCTGTATCTATATAGTGTAGAAAATAAAATTAATTGCATTCATTTCTTAACACGATAAAATTTCACTAATTTATTAAACGAATTAACACATTAAAGTCCCATCCCTAAATAAAACACAACAAACACAACAACATTTGAAGGACAGTTGTGCTTCAAAACACAGAACATGCCTAACTTTTACTGTACGTGCTTAGGATATATAATGGTTTAACGAGGCACAAAAAGCAGGTAAACTGGCACCAGGATGGGGTTCCATTTGTGCCAAAAATAAGCTCACGCAAAATGGGTAGATGTTGTTGGCTTATGTTGTTGATAAGTGGCTTTGCTTGATGTCTATGTTACTCATGTAAATGCTGCACATTTTGCATATGTGTATGTCTCTAGCTGCTATTTTGTTTATTACTCACTGTAATCTTAATAATTGATGTACAAGAAATTAGCCTACTCCTTGCAGTTGTTATTTAAAACTGTTTCCCCCATTGTTGGATTGCAAAGTTATCTGCATGTCTGCAACCTTAGTGACTGGTTAATGCCATCTCTCCCAGCAGTTTTTAGCTCATGCTGTTGGTCAATGCTTTTGGTCCTTGTCATCATTTTCATCTAGTTATGTCTTGGTAACAACCATTAAGTCACGATTTTGCTGGGTAATTAAGTCATTTAAAAATGTAAAATAAAAACACCCAGTGTCCATAAAAAAGTTTAATGTTATGGTCTACTTTGGGATGTTTTGCGCATGCGCACAAAGATGGAGGACAAAAAGTGGGTTTTTCTAGCCGAACAATATATCCAAACACAGTCACACTTTGTTTGTTAATAAGATGAAACCAGGGGATGTCAGTATTACTAATTTAGATCATCTTTTTGCAGAGAACCACAAAAGTTAAACAGCAAAGTTAACCCTTTTTAGCGTAAATGTTCCAGACCCATTTCAAATAGCTGATGGCCTGTGGATTTACAGTCCTCAAAAAAGAAATGTTGGCTTTACATAAATATATTTGAAATACCTGCATAGTTATTATTAGGTACTTTTACTTTGACAAACAGGCCTAATTGTATATTCTGTAGCAGTCTGTGTTCTGGCAATGCACCATAACTATGTTGCATAGAACATGAAAGTATTTTAAATGGAAAAAAATGGAGTGTGGCTAAAAGAAAAAAGAAATAACAATGGCAGAGATGGCATGTGACATTATATATAACTTTATAGCTTTGCATGAGAAATCCCTATAAAGTAAAAGGTTTTGATTGATATGCAAGTGAGCTTTGGCACAATCATGAAAATAGGTGTGGCTCGTCAAGGTTTTTTTGTTAATGTTTCAAAGTTATTAAGAGGTGTATGTTTTTAGAGCACTCATTTCCAATTTCCAAATTATTTGGCCATAATTTAGCTTAATTCTCCTTTATTTAAACTGATAGTTCATTTAATTAATAGATGCATTCTAAAGATTATCACCTCATTATGCAGATTACATTTTAGAGAGTTTTTTGTGATGATAGCATACATAATTAAAAATAAAACTTAGTATAGATTATTATTTTTTTTTTTTACAGTCTGGCAATGTGGCAATAAGAATAATTGTCTTGATGACAAAAAGAGCCCAACAGATTTTACTTTCACAAGTGGAGAACTACAGCTATTGCCATAGTGCTTCGCTTGATTTATGTGTATAGATGGCTTTATTATAATTATGCAGGGAGTTTTACAGATTATATGGACACTGCAATGCAAAGCCGGACTACACTGTGCGTTTTTTTTTTAGTCGTTGCACGCAGCTACTGCTCACACTGTAAGACTATTCGCAGGGTTTCGTCGTACAGTGTGAGTTCACAGCTCACGATTTATGTTCGGCCAGACGCTCTCATGCGATCTACCTGTTCACACTGCACGACTTAAAACACGTCGGACTCAGCTCCGCAGTAAGGTTGGAGCTGCTCTGACTCTTCTATCTGGAAGCCAAATGAGTAGAAGAGGAATATGAAGCTCTCTATAGTGAAATGCTGTGCCTTGGCAATTTGCAATTTTATGCTGAAAGCCCTAAAAAGAAAAGACCATGACATATTTGGAAAAAAGACATGGCTGAGCAAACGCGGCTACTACGGTCTGTCAATTTTACAGACAGAACTCCATTTCACTCATTGCATCCCTGCCATGCTGCTCTGTTTACATCTTAGAGGAAGAATAAAAAGAAAAGTCCTTGTTTGCGCATGCGCCCTGAGCAATTTGCCCATGAAAATCAAACTTGTTTGATTTTCTCCCGACCTCACGATTCCTGATTGGGAGGTGGTCTAGGTAGGCTGATTGCCCTTCGTTACCCCCTGTGCACTAGACGACTCACGATGCACAATCATGCTGAAAGTTGGCCCGATTAAAAGATTCTCACACTGTGCACTATACAGGTCAATTGGTAATACGATGAGATTGTATTACCAATTGACTCTGTAACTGCAAATATAGTCGTTTTTTCGTTGTTTATTTTTAGCTGATTAGCTAAGAAACTTGCTGACTTATTGCTATGTTCAAACTGAAATTATTTTACCTCTCATCACTGCTTTCCCTGCTTCCCATAGTATAGAAGCTGATGTTCCTGGTAAATCATTGCATTGCAAGTATGATGCTCACTCCTCCTTGAAAAATTTAAGGATTTCTTCATCTTTAAGCAGTGATGTATTTAATCTCCAGCACTTGTTTTGTGGGGGTCTTTTTTATTTATTTATTAGGGTTAAAGTAACAGGAGCATGATCACTGACAGCAATAGGATGGATTTAGAGCACCTGAGACAGCAGCGAGCTGCTGATTAAGAAATAGTCCCAACGAAAGTAGGAATGATGGACATTAGAAAAGAAAGTCTATTCCTTACTGTTAGGATGAAGAGATCGCCATGCATCGCAAAGACCAAAATCACTGATGTATTGTTTGACTACATTTAATGATTGCCAACTGTGCTAAGTCCCTGTTGTATTCAACCTGACCGTAGTTGGGGTCAACCCCAATAATTAAAGAACAGTCCCCGTGCTTTTAAAGTGCATGAAAAAGTTTGTGAAGTGTTAGAATAATTGTATATAAATTTATATAAGTAATGTTATAATGCATAAAGCTGTGTGCTATGTGCATGTGTTCATAGCCACCTTTTCTGAAGTATACTGTGATTTGTGTACTTGCTTTTGGGGAGGTTGTGGTTGATTTACGAGCAGCACTCAACCTGCTGAACTTTGGTGAACAGCTTCAACAGCTTCAACTTTGACTGAACCGTGGGATTTAGAGGAAATGTTTACTGAGACTGCAAGTCTGAGTTTCTTATCTTGTTTCCTCGCCCAGTGTAGTCTCAGCTGTTGTAACCAGGGACCCCTAATTTCAATAAATAGCGAGGAAAATGCTGGGACTACAGAGTAGGTTGGAGATTTGTTAAATTTACAGTCCCTTCCTACTCTCCTCTTGAGTAAAACTAAATTAATTGTCTCTGTGCCTTCTTTTTTTCCCTGTATGTATGTATGATGTTTTAGGTGCTTAGACCTGGAAGAATGAGGGGCCATCAACATTTTGATCATATATGCTGACCATACATAACTTTTGATTATGAATAGATATTTTAATTATGATGAATCTGCCTTCAGGATCAATAATTTTGTCTAATAAAGTAAAACTGAGTTTTTTGTGGATTAAAATTGCTACTCCTCTCTGTCTAGAGTTATAGCAGGCTGCAAACACATCAGGGAACACAGGGGAGTTAAGATCACTTACAGTAAAAAAAAAAAAAAAGATCACTTACAGTTGCCGCTGATTTATGTGTTTCTTGCAATAAGAAAACATCTGCATTTAACCTTTTAAGCTGGTTAAAAATCTTAAACTGTTTCTCTCTGGTGCCAGCTTCCTGCACATTCCATGTCACAAACATTACATTAACCATAGGTGTGAGTGAAAAGATGAAAAGTACATGCATCCGAATAAAAAGTTAGACTTAGACCCAGGTAGCATCAGACAGCATGCTTGTGATTGTGTGGAACACAGGGATAGGGATAGTATAGATGATTTTAACCTGAATGTTGACAGCTAGTCGGATAATTTAACAAAAAATTCTTCAGGGTCTTGAAATGTTTTGTCATTTTGAAAAGATTTGTATAAAATCACAATTGTGTAACATCTAAAAGGAATAGTGAAGTAATAACTTATATGTCCATTATCAATTATTCCTTTTACAAGTTTAAAGCTAAAATATAACAATCACCCTGCAGAAGAGATGCACTTTGTAAAATGCAGGATACAGCTGTTGAAACATGGCCGAAGACCCAGGATAACCCAAACACTCACCCAGAATGCTCAAGGAATGATCACATCTTTAGATAAATTTTCTGACAGAAAATATTTGGAGAATCTTGTCCTGGTTAATGTTTAGGTGTTTGTGAATGTCTATGGTCCTAAACATCAGCTCTCTGGTTCATATCTTTGTCAGAATGTTTCTTTTATTATCTGGATACATGGGGTGTTCCAATATATATTAACTGGTTTTAGCACATTTGGTCTCTGCCTGCTTTCCATCAGTAAAGCCAAAACTGGCCAAGGACTGCAGGAAATTCCTTAGAGCTTTACCAGGAACAATGTTTGACTTAAAAAGTGATCATAAAGCACATGAAGATAATTTTAAAATAAAGGTTTATTATGTGAGGATAAACAGAATGACTTCCCAGCAGGAAGCTAAGTGGTCTATAAATGTATCAGGTTTATCATTGTTGCTGAACTCTGGAATTAAATTTTTGTCCTTTCTTGACGCTCTGTCTTCTAGTAGTTTAAATCTGTGGTCGTTGGAGGAATTTTTTTAAATCAGAAAATCATCCACCAATTTCATACAACTGAATACGTATTTTTGCTATATATAAGATACATTAAAGGATTTTCAGTATTACAAAATGTAAAGGGGAGGTCTTTGGTACAATTTCCTTTCCCTTTTAGGAACATAGAAAGGAAATTAAGTGCATAATAGTTTTTAATGAGCAAATTATATATTGAAATGTTGTTCTTACTATTTTTTATAAGACACACAACAACTCATAATATTAAATATTCACCATGTGTTTCAGTATAGTATTAAAGTAATTAAAAATGTATTTGTAGTGGCAATTTGTGATTATTTCCTACTTTCGTTTTTTTTTCTTATTTAACTTTGGCTTTGTGGCCAAGTATATAAACAATGGTCGTACATGTGGGACACAGGACAACAATATTTTTCACAGACAGTGATGTGCCAGATATTAATATCTGTTCTTTTTTTCCATGTAAACAAACTGGCTAAAAGCCAGAGTGTTAGGGTTACAATGTCTACTTCAGCCAGAGTTATTTAAGATCATTCGTTTTAAGGAATGTAAAACTCTGTTAATGTGGCTCACAGGCATAAAAATGTCATATACAATCAGATAAACGAAAAGGCCAACCAAAAGATGATTGGTTTAAATGGACTCACCATGTCCTCCAGATGCCATGTTGTCAGATCAATAGCTTCCAGTTTTAGACTCAGAATTAACCTAAAATACAATTTTTTAGAGAGATTAAAAACATCCGTAACAAATTAAATTCTTGTCTCTGTTCTGTTTTAATTTTTTAATCTGCATGTCAAAAGCATATACCCAAAACACACCTTATCAGGTTCATAAGAGTTTTGTCATCTGTTCTTCTGGAGCAAAAATATGTGCATCAACAGAAAACAAACAAAAAAAAAAAAACGAACTCCCAAGCTTCCTCTCACAGTCTATAAATTGTTGTTATTTCCCAGGTTAAAGTTTGTGGCCGGGGAGGATAAACTCTGAACATATATTCCTGTTTAGAGGAGCTAAGGAAAAATCCCCACCTCACTAAATAGATGGTAGTGCATTTCAGAATTAAAATGTTGTCTGAATCCAGCTTATTTCCAAAAGATCAATAGGAGAGACCAACAAAATCATCATTAAATCATCATCAAATCATCACATTTTTATGATGATCATCAGTCATCAGAAATCATGTTAGTTTCGATCCAATGCAGCACGTTACTTCAACTAAATGAACCAAAGCAATTTTTAATTTTTAGATCCCAGAGGCACACTCTGCTACATGGAGAGAGCTTTTAATGCAATGATGGAGACTGGCTGAGAAGATGTAATCTGGATTCTCTAAAATCAAAGTCGAATGTTCCTGTGACTTTCTTACTACTTTCAGGAACAAAGGTTTAATCCACATCAGTTACTGGTAGTTTAATCTAAAGAGGCTCCTCAAATCACCTCACTGCCCTTAACAGCCCTGACACACAGCTACAGTAGCTGTTTATTTTATTAAAACATAGTCATTTAGTTCTTCAGTGCTATACTGAATTCACTTACATGATATTTAGTCCAAATTAAATAATGAGAACATATATTGATGGTGAAGCTGGAACTACTTTTTCCGAAGCCTAAATAATCTTCACTCTGCATTTCCTACACTTGATTTGATAAGCAGCTGCAATGGAGGTCAGTGCACAACTACTAAAGTTGTTTAAGTTTATCCCATAAGCACTTCAGCAGTTAGTTTATAGTTATTTGTATCACTGCAATAAAAAGAGTTGACATTCAATTGCTCTGAACTTCAGACCCTAGATCTTAAATTTTAACTTTTCCAGGTGATGTCAACTTTAGAGAAGGAAGGTTAAAAAAAAAAACTACAAGCCAAAGCGTTTTCAAATTTAAAGATATTTATCATTTTGACACCAATTCATTTGATACGAATTAATTTGTTAATATTTCACTATCTTGTATCATGATTGAGGTCAAAACACAAGCAATCACAGAGCATGTTTTCATTGTGGTTCACCGCATACCCAATACAGGGTTAAAAAGAAAAAAAAATGGTTTAGTTGTATGCCACAAAGAATCAGAATAGTTACACCCACCTGAAATGTAAGAATGTTGCTCTATCATATCTTCATGGGTCTCCTAAATGAATCTGTCGATGCTAGAATAAAAGCACTACTCATATCCAGCTGTTACACAACCCCCACTAAGCAGAGTGGGTGGGAAGATGAGCTGAGTTAATGTTAAAAGAAAATAAAAAAAGTTTATTGGTCATTGCGCACTGTCAGCAGAAAAGATTCCAATTAAATTCATTTTATGTATATAGTGCCAGTTCACAACCTCTCGAGGCACTTTATAGAGACAATCTAACCAGATCATACAGTCCAATTGATTCAAAGTTTTCTGAGTAAATCCAGTTGACTGCGTCAACTCGTCGACTCAAAGTTGCTTGTAGTTACAGCGGAAAGGAAAACTCCCTTTTAACATGAGGAAACCTCCAGCAACAGTGTAATGCTTTCCGCGGGGTAACAAGGATTTCTTCTGTGGTGGTAATTGCCACCCCAACTGCTACAGCAAAATCTGGGGGAGTAAGTCATCCCACGTGGAGTACTTTCTTGTGATTGGCTTATACAAGGGAGCTTTGTGATGGCAAACCATTCCCTATTTAAAAAAAAAAACAAAAAAAAAAAAACAAGGCACGTCAGGATAGTCTCAAAAATCCACATGCAAATACAGTGAAGTTTAAAGACCATTGGTACTCCATCCATCCATCCATTCATCCATCCATCCATCTTTGGTGAATCTTATGCTGGTGAAGATTCTCAGTCATTCAGGTCATAGTCATTCCAAAAAAGTTAAAAAACAATCCAATGGACTTTGTTTCCAAGTTTGAATACATTTCCCTTCCCATCCAGAAAGCTTTTTTCAATTCAAAATGTCAGAAATAGCCTAGGCTTTATACAGTAGCCATACAAAATGGGTCCACCCCTTTGGAATGGGGGTCCTTTTGCCTGAATTCTTTTAAGCAGGACTCTGATGCTGATTGGATTACAAGGAGGTGTGGTGTGGATGCTAATTAGCTGCTTGACAGAGGGATGAGCCTCTGATTGCATGAATGGAAGCATCCAGCTTTTTCAGTTCAACCTCTCCATAGGCATCATTTTCAGGTTTTCTTGTCTTATGATCAACATTTTTTTTCAGGTTATTTATTATTTTTTTAACATACTTTAACTAGGTGGTAGTTATCATTTCAGTTTGCATACTGGAAATAAATGCTTTTAAATTAGTTTTTGTACCATTACACTTAAATTATACATATGACAACATATTTACTAACTTCTAATTCTTAACAGCGTAAGTGCAGCTAAAAGCTTGACCTAAAAATCAGAAATCACTTTATTAATTTCAGTCAGATGTTGTCAAGTCTGATGTATCAGTTGTAAAAGTAGTCAACGAATCTGATTTTTTTTTTATTGTACAACCTAACTGTTTTTAGACGTGTTGCTGAATTCAGCCAAATTTGATGCCGTCTCTGTGCATCCATCCTCTTGTATGAATGGTGTTTCATTTATACTCCCAACAACTACATCTTATAAAAGCTGACAGTTGATATCCTCAGTACAATGTTATTAAAAAGAAAAACATTGGTATTATATATAAACCATGTTGCCTGTATATATATATATATATATATATATATATATATATATATATATATATACACACTCACCCATGCTAGTAACGGGTTGGACCCCCTTTTGCCTTCAGAACTGCCTCAGTTCTTCGTGGCATAGATTCAACAAGGTGCTGGAAGCATTCCTCAGGGAGTTTGGTCCATATTGACATGATGGCATCACACAGTTGCCGCAGATTTGTCGGCTGCACATCCATGATGCGAATATCCCGTTCCACCACATCCCAAAGATGCTCTATTGGATTGAGATCTGGTGACTGTGGAGGCCATTTGAGTACAGTGAACTCATTGTCATGTTCAAGAAACCAGTCTGAGATGATTCCAGCTTTATGACATGGCGCATTATCCTGCTGAAAGTAGCCATCAGAAGTTGGGTACATTGTGGTCATAAAGGGATGGACATGGTCAGCAACAATACTCAGGTAGGCTGTGGCGTTGCAACGATGCTCAACTGGTACCAAGGGGCCCAAAGAGTGCCAAGAAAATATTCCCCACACCATGACACCATCACCACCAGCCTGAACCGTTGATACAAGGCAGGATGGATCCATGCTTTCATGTTGTAGACGCCAAATTCTGACCCTACCATCCGAATGTCGCAGCAGAAATCGAGACTCATCAGACCAGGCAACGTTTTTCCAATCTTCTATTGTCCAATTTCGATGAGCTTGTGCAAATTGTAGCCTCAGTTTCCTGTTCTTAGCTGAAAGGAGCGGCACCCGGTGTGGTCTTCTGCTGCTGTAGCCCATCTGCCTCAAAGTTCGACATACTGTGCGTTCAGAGATGCTCTTCTGCCCACCTTGGTTGTAACGGGTGGTTATTTGAGTCACTGTTGCCCTTCTATCAGCTCTATCTGGCCATTCTCCTCTGACCTCTGGCATCAACAAGGCATTTCCATCCACAGAACTGCCGCTCACTGGATGTTTTTTTTCTTTTTTGGACCATTCTCTGTAAACCCTAGAGATGGTTGTGCGTGAAAATCCCAGTAGATCAGCAGTTTCTGAAATACTCAGACCAGCCCTTCTGGCACCAACAATCATGCCACGTCCAAAGTGACTCAAATCACCTTTCTTCCCCATACTGATGCTCGGTTTAAACTGCAGGTGATTGTCTTGACCATGTCTATATGCCTAAATGCACTGAGTTGCCGCCATGTGATTTGCTGCTTAGAAATTAAGTGTTAACGAGCAGTTGGTCAGGTGTACCTAATAAAGTGGCCAGTGAATGTATATATATATATATATATATATATAAAACCCTAACCCTAAAGGGCTGGTTATCCTCCCCCAGCAGTGTGTCGCAGTGAGCTTGACGGTTTGGGGTCACATTGAAATGTCCTTATTTTTCAAGGAAAAGAACTGTACTTTTCAATGAAGATAACTTTAAACTAGTCTTAACTTTAAAGAAATACACTTTATACATTGCTAATGTGGTAAATGACTATTCTAGCTGCAAATGTCTGATTTTTGGTGCAATATCTACAGAGGTGTATATGTTAGATGTCCTTCAGAGGACAGCACAAACAGGCTACTGCGGGTACTATTTAATGAAGAGGCCAGTTGGGGACCTGTGAGGCGTCTGTTTCTCAAACTAGAGACTCTAAAATACTTATCTTCTTGCTCAGTTGTGCAACGCGGCCTTCCACTTCTTTTTCTACTCTGATTACAGCCTGTTTGTGCTGTCCTATGAAGGGAGTAGTACACACCGTTGTAGGAAATCTTCAATTTCTTAGCAATTTCTCGCATGGAATAGCCTTAATTTCTAAGAACAAGAATAGACTGTTGAGTTTCAGATGAAACTTCTCTTTTTCTTGCCATTTTGAGCATTTAATTGACCCCACAAATGTGATGCTCCAGAAACTCAATCTGCTCAAAGGAGGTCAGTTTTGTAGCTTCTGTAACGAGCCAAACTGTTTTAGATGTGTGAACATGATTGCACAAGGGTTTGCTAATCATCAATTAGACTTCTGAGCTGCTCAGTGATGCAGTGGGTAGCCCTGCTGCCTTGCAGCAAGAAGGTTCTGGGTTCGATTCCCAGCCCAGGGTCTTTCTGCATGGAATTTGTATGTTCTCTCTGAGCATGCGTGGGTTCTCTCCGGGTACTCCGGCTTCCTCCCACAGTCCAAAAACATGACTGTTAGGTTAATTGGCTTCTCTAAATTGTCCTTAGGTGTGTGTGTGAATGGTTGTTTGTCCTGTGTGTCTCTGTGTTGCCCTGCGATGGACTGGCGACCTGTCAAGGGTGTACCCCACCCCTCGCCCATTGACAGCTGGAGATAGGCACCAGCACCCCTTGTGACCCCAATTGGGACAAGCGTGTCAGATGAATGGATGAAAATACAAAAATACACAACACTGAAGTATTTTGATACAAAATACAAAGGTATTTTTAATCATGTCAATAAAATACAAAATAGTATTTTATATTTCAAATATTTGTGTAAGAAATACTGCCCATCCCTGACCATGGGTAAAGGAACTCAGTAATCAAGTGAATCAAAAATCCAAATTCCACACTTTCAACTTTTTATAATTTTTTTTAATTAGTATGGTTTTGGCATGGAATTAGTAAAATTAAAATTCTCCATTAAAACTGTCAAAAAACTGTCCCGTTTCTTTGATTATCATTTTGATTACCCGGTTTGAATCCAAGTAGAAATGTTTCTCAGAATATGTACAAAAAGAAAGAATAGTTTTTAAGTATTAACCAAATTTATTCCAGTTATGTTTAATCAGACTCAGAATCAGGAATACTTTAATAATCCCAGAGGGAAATTACTTAAATTTTCAATGATTAAAAAAAAAAATAATTGATATAAGAATAAATTGCAGAGGATCATCTACCTTTCTGGCCAGCCTGACCAACGCTCTGATAAACAGTGGCCCTGATAATAGATCTAGCTGCGACTCCAAGACTATTATCTAAGTCTCCCAGAGTCTAACAGTTGTACAGAATCAATACTACACCCAAATAATGCAATACAAAACGGTAGATCGAATTTCACTTAAGCAGACTGAAACTTTCACATAAAACACAAGATATGAGCAAAACCTATACAGTGAGCAGTAAAAGAAAGTGAAATAAAAAAATAAAAACAAAAAGAGTAAACAATAAAACAAATATAAACAAATGAACCTTCAACACTTTCTAATGCCTCAAATAAGAAACACTATGATAAGCTTTTTAGCTTTGAGGGAGCAGGCAGAGTGTTTAAAATACAGATTGATTCTTTGGATGCAGGAATAGATCAATCAATACATTTCCTCCTCTGAGTTTGAACATCATTATGATGAATGGCAGCACACACTCTTGAATCTAAATACATCCAAAACAATGTTACAGATACATACAACACAATCTAATTTCGTCACTTTGTTACTTTTTTAACTTATACCCGAACAACAACAAAAACTTAATTTTAAAGTTAATCAATCAATAACATTTGGATTGGTTTTGTCTATAAAAGGAGAGAACAAAGACATTAAGTGTTTTCAGACTTAGGTTTTTAGGCTTTCAATCACCTTTTAGGTGTAATGACTTCAAGCACCTCCATCATATTTAGGGCTCTGTTGACACTGCTGCACTAGAGCACACAAAGACATACAAGAATCATCTGGGGAGCAGGTGTTAGAAAGAAATGTGGTCAGGGCAAAGAAAATCACAGGCTTAAACCGCAAAGAGGATCAGACAGGTGGAGAAGCCAATGGACTGAACACATTATTTAATAGGTCTAATTCAGAAATCCTCTACTTCTATGTTTGTTCTCCATTTAATCAGAAGATGGTGCTGCTCACTGTGCCTCTAGTATGTTTGTATCTAGAATTCAGAAGAAGAGGCAAGCACACAGATTGAATGACAGATGATGTCAGCCCCAGAATCCTGAAGGCCTGTCATAGCAGCTCTGTGGGATTCTGCAGCACCTACTAAATCTCAGCTTGACACAGAAAACAGTTTCTGTGACATGGAAGACCTACTTGTTCCTGAATCAAGAACAATTCAGGAAGCAGCCTTCAGTGACTATAGACCTGTTGTCCAACTATCCCACTTCATGAAGGTCATTGAAAGATTCATGTTTGTCCCCCTGAGCAAACAAAAAAGTAGCTGTCTGGAACTCCTATAGATGAAGATGCTCATACAACTGCATAAACAAACCAAATGTCATTTAGATAAGACAGACAGCACTATGAGGATGATGTTCTTTGTTTTCTCAAGTACATTTAACACAATTAAGTCTGATAATGTTGTGAGAAACTCCCCAAGACTCAGGTGGAGGCATCAACAATCGCCTGGATCAAACACTACTTGAAAGACTAGTTTGTGAGACTGAAAGATCAGTTATCTGGACAGGTAGTCACTGGATCATCACAGACAAGACAACCCTCAGTCTTCCTTATTACTCTACATGCCTCAGACTTTCAGCACAAGGCAAAGTTGTGTCATTTGAATAAATACTCAGATGAGTGTGCCATCATTGGGTTGAGTTGAGTTTAAGGCTTTATACAGTAGCCCAAACAAAGCCTTGTTTTGAAAACATGCAAATTGAACCAGAAGAACAGGTCCATCCCTTAGGTCCTCTAAAACATCTACAAATTTTTCTCAGAAAGAAAGATTCTGTGTAAAATGAACGTTATTGACAACAGTGAGCATCCTCTTCAGAGGACTGTTAATTATCAACAAAGTGCCTTCATTCAAAGGTTTTTCCAGATTCGATGTAAGACAGATGTCTACAAAAAATATCTTTCCTTCCTACAGCTATTAACATGTCAAACAACTTGTTGGAAAAAAAGCTAATAGTTAGAATAACATCCCATTTCACTTGAGGATTTAAAAAGTATGTTTGAATGAATGAATGGAATTCAATAACAGCAGACATGAGCTTGACCTCCTGTAAGAGCATTGGTTAAACTAATAGTCATGCTAATTCAGATATTATACGTAAAAGTTATAAAGGCATGAAAATGCTTATCCAACAGATGCTGACAACTAATAAGAAATTGCAGATATTAATGTTGCTGTGGAGGTTTTTGTATATATTTTTTATCATCAGCAGGTTCTTTTCATTGACTACAGATTTCTGTACAAATGTCGATGAGAGAAAGCCTGGGTAAGGTGATGAACAGTTCAATTCATGATGTTTGGACGTCATATATCACGAAATGAAGCAGCTAGTCTTTACATCAGTTTCACCCATAAGCTGCTGAATCAGATCACTTAGCTGTTTGTTGTGTTCTTCCCCCCGTTGTGTCATTTCCTGTTGACTTTTGGCTTTTTTCATCTCCTCTTCTTGTTTTGACAGCATGTCCTTCAGTTTTTTCACATTCTCTCTTTTTCTGGTCACACATTTCACCACATCAGTAATTTCCTTTCTGTGTTTGTTTTCCTTCATATCTTTGAGAGCCTTTAGCATATTGTATTTTTCATCCTTCTGTAGCACCATGGCTGTAAATTCTTTCAAATATTTTTCTTTAAACTCATTGAGCTCTTCTGCCTTTTGTCGGGCTTCCTCCTCATACTTTTCTGTTAACTTTTGTAAATCTTGCCTGAATACATCCTGCATTTGCTGTTTATAAATGGCCTCCTTTTCTTTTCTTATTCTTTCCTCCTCCATCATTTTTGTATAATCTTCTTTTTCCTTTTCATAATCGTTTTCCAGTTTTTCTTTTTCCATTTTCCACTTTTTGTCGACTTTTTCCCATTTCTGCCTTAAAGTTTCCTTCTCCTTCTCCAAGGCCTCAGGAGTTTTGAATTGACCTTTCGGTTGGTTTCCCATCAAAGCTTCTCTTTCCTGCTTCCATTTTGCTTCTTCTTTTTTTCTCTGTTCTTGTTCTTTCTTTTTTTCTTCTTCACTCTGTTGAAGTTTTTTCTCTATCTCCTTAATTTTTTCCTCCTTCTCCTTCAACTCCTTTTCTTTCTGTGTTTTTTCTTCTTTCATTTTTCTTTCCATTTCCTCCATTTGCTTTTGGTGTCTTTCCTCCAGCTTCTTCTTTTCTTGCTCAATTTCTTCTTCTTTCTCCTTCAGGATTAGCTGAATTTGGTTCTGTATGGCTGTTTCAGCCTCTTGCAGCATCTCATTGGTAAAGCATCCATTTTTAGCCACCAAGTTGTCAATCTTTCTGACCAGCTCTATAACCTGTCTTCGGTTTTGGGTGTCGTTGTTGTCAAACATATGGTATCCCCCACAGTCGGCAATAATCTTTTTAAAGGAGTCATCACAGTTGTTTTCTACATAATCATCTATGGATTGTTTATCTTTTATCATATCTCCTCTGGTAAACAGCATGATGGTGTACTTTTCAGAATTCTTCCCAAAACCTTCTTTAATAAGTTTTAATGTCTCTCTCTCCTCTGGTGTGTTTCTTCCTCCAATTGGTACCACTAGCAGGAAGACGTGTGGACCTGGTGCCAGAAGGCTGATACATTTCAGTAATTCTTGACGCACCTTTTCGTGGGATAAATTGTCGTCAAACAAGCCAGGAGTGTCCACCACAGCAACGGGACGACCTTCTACCTCACCCAGGGATTTCTGACAGCACTTTGTGACTGACATTTGGCTTACGTCAGCTTTAAACTCTTTTCTACCCAGGATAGTGTTTCCTGAAGAGCTCTTCCCACAACCAGTCTTCCCAATCAGAACAATCCTGAGGCCAAACTCAGAATGATCATTTATCCTCTTGTCTTTATCTCCTGTAATAGAGGAACCAATGGTCAGTTTACTGAGAAATTATGCATAACAATAAACTAAAACTCAAGAATCAAACAAAAAAAAAAAAACATATTTTTTCTAAATTTGGCAACAATTAAAATGTGTATTCAATAGCTCAAGGGTGTTAGGTTTAACGAAAAAACCAGAATAGTGAGAGCAATGCCAACTTTAACTCAAACTGTTTTGGTGAACTGCCAGGAAGCCACTCCCCTCTGCCAAGCTCCTCTGCTGCTAGTTTCTGCTCTGGCTGCTGGAGATCGGAACTAGCTGGACTAAACCTCATGCAATCAAAGAGTGTAGTTTTGATGTGGCTGACCTCTCACTCTTGTTTGAAGAAGTAGCACAGCATGCAAGCCAAACAGTGATGGTAGAATATGCAAAGTGCAAACTGTGCAAAAGGTTTCTAAGAAGAACTGTGAAGGACAGCCGGTAAGCTGATTACAGTTCCTTATTCACATGGACTGATTATCTGGTTGATTGTTTAATATTACTAAAAGGAAAAAAAATAAATAAAAAATACACTTGGTGTTTATTAGTTAAAGCAGAAAAAAATGTTGATAAAAATGCTGATGAAGATTCTCAGTCATCCAGGTCATAGTCATTCCGTAAAAGTTCAAAAATATCCACTGGACTTGGTTTCCAAGATTTGAAGACGTTTCCCCACCTCTCCAGGAAGCTTTCTCAATTCAAATGTCTGGATTCGCAATGAGTTTGAGTCTTATATGGACAAGGCCTTGCATTGCTTGGAAACATGCAAATGGTAACCGCTGAATGGGTCGTTTGGTTTCATTGTTAGCCTGTAATATCTGAAACCTGTCTATGATTCTGAAGGTCGGTCGTTAAAGGAGGGGGTTTGCCGTTAAGGGGGGGATTGTCTCCTGTAATACCTGAAATCATAGACAGGTTTCAGGTATTACAGGAGACAATCCCCCCCCTTAACGGCAATCCTCAAGGGCCAGAAGAGTTCTGATCTTTGTATCAGTGGATTTCATCCTTGCTTTTTGCAAATGACATGATTCTCCTGGATCCCTCCAACCAACACCTACAAGTGGCAAGGATGAGGATCAACTCCTTAAAATCTAAGACCATGTTTCTCAACCTGAAAAGGCTTGATGTTGGAGGAGAGTTCCTTAATCATTGGAATAGTTTAGGGACCTTGGGGTACCTAGTTTAATTTTTGTGAAATTGCTAAAAAATCAATAATTTTTTGTGTCATTCGTATTTTATAGCCAGTTGAAAGCTGAATTATTTTCTTTTGTTTTTTATTACAAGAAATAATCACATCTACATAAAACGTCCCATCTCACTCAGCAAAATAGTGAACATTTGTATATCGTGTTTCCAGCGAGCGCTTCTGTGCCAGAGGTCTAACTGCCACTAGCTCCTCTGCCTTTGTGGTTTACCTAGTTTCTCTCTTCTTGTAAAACTCTGTTTGCAAGTTTAAGCTGACTGTTTCTGGATCCAAGCTTCTTTGATCATGAACTCCACCCAGCCCTGATAAGAACCCCCAAAGTGGTTTGCATATTTAACAACTGTAAGACTTTTCTTTGATTCACTAAACCTTCTCTTCAACCTCAGTCAAAATCAGTGGCCAGCATTCCCCTCCAGATTCCAAGCTGTCCTCTCCGGCCAAGTGCCCATTTCCTAGATGTCCTGACTATTGTTCATCTCTAAACCTTAAACTTTTCTCCTGACCCTTAAGTGTGCTCTGCAGATGGGCCAAATCAATATGTAAGACCATGACACCTTTTCATTAAGTTATTATCTAATATCAAACATCTTATACCTATTATAATAAAACTCACTGTTGTGTTTGAGAATCAGATAGAGGTAGAGCTATCCAACCTAATGGACATTTTAGATCATAAAAAGTAACTGGATTACTACTTTGACTAGTAACTGTATCCTTTGATTTTACAGCCAATGCAACTTATACTAACTAATAACTGAATAACGCACCAACTGAGTCACAAAATATTTTTTCAGAGGTAATAAGTAACTGTTATTAATTCCTTCTTTTTTAAATAGTGTTTCCAACACTAACCACCGGTAAAACTATGCTCTGTTTGTCTTATTCCATTGGTCTCCAACCCTGGTCCTCAAGATCTACTGTCCTACAGATTTTAGATGCATCCCTGCTTTAACACAGCTGAATCAGATGATTGATTACTTTTTCAAGCCATTCATTTGATTCAGCTGTGTTGAAGCAGGGATGCATCTAAAATCTGTAGGACAGTAGATCTTGAGGACCAGGGTTGGAGACCACTGTCTTATTCCCTATAAACCAGCCTGCATTTCCACAGGGGCGGAACAATCTCTCACTTACCGTCTCTAATTAACTGAGGATGTATTTACCTAAACAGCAGCACAGAATTGGCAACATTTAATTTAACAGCTAAGACTCACGGTACCTTGCTCAAGCTGAACCTACTGTATTGTATGTGGCTAAGAACATGGACAAACCACCACTACTCACCCATCACCCTGCTGAGATGGCTCATTCTCATTCTAATACAGAAATAACAGTATACTGTAAAAAGTGGCTTAAAAAATGTATGTTGTTAAAAATTTATCCAGACAGAGATGATAGGATAAATAACAGGAAGTACGTCATGGAATTTTGTCTCCTAATCATTGTTAAGCATAGAAAATGAATATACTGCAATCAAAACTTGCAAAACTGTATTGCGTCACATACGCAAGCAACATACCTACATGTATGTTAAACTGTTTCTGCGCATGGTTTATCCACCACAGCACAACAAATTCCTAAATGCAAGAGGAAAAAAATCGCTCTCCGCACGCGATAGCTCCTCTGAAACATGTGTGGGATCATGCTCGGATCTCCCTGCACGCATGATTTTCTATCCAGCCGCCAAGCTTGAGGATTGCTACGGTCTCGAAAGCATTTTTGCCCTCTCCTTTTCTCCTTGCGCGAAGGAAAATGTGTTTCGACAGGATTTTGTTATATGGTGGTAGATAAACCATGCCCAGAAGTAGTGTAACATAGATGCAAGTGTGTTAATTTTGCTCATGGATGATTTGATAAAAATGTGACGCCATAAAACTGATAGATGCACTTTCATGTGTCATATTTTTATTGAATATGCTTTTAAGACATTCTATTTCTTACTGTAGTTTCTGTATCCTATTTAATGACATAAACAAAACTGTTCTTCATATCTAAAGACATTTTTTGAAATACCTACCTTTGAACCCAGTCTGTGATGACAGACTGGAAAGTTGGCTCTGTTGTTCAGTGATTGTTTTCTCCTGTTTTAGGATTTTATTCAAGAAGGCTTCAAAGAGGGTCCGTATTGTGTAGCAACTTTGTGTCTTTTTTTCAACAAAGTCTATTACATTAGAGAACTTCTTCCTATCTCTGTTGTTTATGACAATGCTTCTCTTCCCACATTTCTTGATAAGCTCTTTGATGTTCTTATCTTTTTTAAGACACTTAACCACATCTGGATGTTCAGGATCTAAATCTGTAGTGAAGAGGATTATTGTGTTTTCATTGACTCTAGAGCTGAATGTGTCCTGGATGGTCTGTAACTCTCCCTTGTCTTCATCAGTGAGGGGACCCACAGGTAGGACCAGGATGAAGGCGTGGACACCCTCAGGATCACAAAGGGAGATACACCTGAAGGATTCTTCCATCACTTCCTGCTGAGGTTTTCCATACAAGGCAGGCAGCTCCACCACAGAAACCCAACGTCCACGAACCTCTCCCTGGTTTCTAACACACTCTGATGAGCTGGAGGCTAAAGGAAGATCTGTCTGACCTAGAATGGCCTTGGCTGCTGAGGTTTTCCCTGCTCCTCTCCTCCCAAATAGAACCAGGTTTAAGGATGGCAGTGACTGGTCACATGTTGATGCTGCTCCATCCTCTTTGATGCTAAGGAAGGCACTGCTGCCTCTTTTCACGATATCTTCAATGTTCTCCATTAACTTCTGGTGATTATTTTCAGACAGTTTGTATTTTCTACTTTCACATTCTCTGATTAGTGAATTTAGAGGAAAACTGCTTTCATTTCCCTCTTTAGTCATGATGACCATTGAGTGTTTAAAGGCCTCTTCACCAAACAAACTCAGGGTGGCTTTCAGGGTCTGTCTGTCCTTCTCTGTGAAGTCTGAAGGATTCACTAAGAGCAGCAGAACATTTGGTCCAGGACGACAAAGATTAAGACAGCTTCTCAGGTCTCCTTTTTGGACTTTTCCCATCTGATTTTCTGGAGGTGTTACAATAGTTAAGATCTTTCCTTTCCATGACCCCTGCTCAACCAGTTTGGCTTGATGAGATGAAATCTCTGGACTTGTTTTCTCCAAGATAAAGTTACAGAGTTGTTTCTTGGTTGACAGTGTTGATCCAAAGAGCATAATCCTGAGACCACGTCCTGTGAAGCAGCACACGTAGAAAACAAAATGAACAGAAATATATCAAAATTTTCTCACACAATGTTAAGCTGTATTTCTGCTCTCTTCCACTCTGTCATTATTTTATTAACAAGACTGTATATCAAGGTTGTTCAAAATAAAGTTTAAGGTACCGTCATTTTGTCCAGGGTTTTTTTCATTAGTTTTTGTTAATCATTCTGTTGAAGTAGGGTTTATAAAAGCTATGTTTGACTTTGAGTTGTTTTTTTCTTCATATAATTTTCATCTATTGTCAATTAGGTCTACATGTGTATACGAATTTGTTTCTGAAATGCATCTGCTTCAACTGAATGTTGTAACTTGCATGCCACAGGGGCAACAGTGGCGTTGGATGCAAAGTTCGCCTAGCAAACAAAGAGTTGCCCGGGCTTCGGCTTTTAGGGCCGTTCTGTCCTTTTACATTAGAGTCACTTTGATTTCTGATGGTCGGAGGGTCTATGCCTGTTAGATTATCCGTGACCCTTTAAAAAGTATACAAAAACTCGATCAGATGTAATGGTGCATTAGAGAGAAACTATATATGACTGTTCATACTTCTAGTCGAATTCCAATGTTATTAAATGCAACTCTTATGAGCAGGCCAAATTATTCATATCCAGTTTGAATAAATCTATGAATGCCTGTATGGTTTGGAATAGACTGTAGGAATGTCCAGATGTCGCCAGTAACCCTTATGGCCCTCCAAAAGACCTCCCAACTGCAACATGGACAGGGGCCCCCTTAAGATCAGGTAAGCTGGGAGATCATAACCTCGATATTTCTGTACATATGACAATGACACTCTTAAAATCAAAGTTTAGGAAAAGTAAAGGTGTCTCTTTTTAGGACCTACCAGGACCAGGGGTTGCACCAGAAAATGAGGAAGCTGCTCTCTGTTGTGTCTTTCCAGATTGTTGAGAGTCTGATTGTTCTTCTTTTCTGTTCTGTAGAATGTTTCCGATCTTCTCAAGCAAATCTTCACGTTCACAGTCGTTCAGAATGAATGAGTTGTCTCTGCATTTTCTGATCAGGTCCTGAAAGGCTTGATTTAAGCTTGGAACATTTTGCTTAGATGTTGATATCAGAACCAGGGCACGATCAAATGACTGATTACCAAAGAGTTCAAGAATTTTTAAGAACCTCTTTTTCTGTTCCTCTGTAAACTTTTCTGGCTGCACAACCAGCAGGAACAGATGAGGAGCAGAGGCACAAAGTCTCAAACAGGAATCTACTTGTCCTTTCAGTTTTTCTTCAGATATCATAGGATGAAGCAGATTTGGTGTGTTAATGACAACCAGCTTCTTTTCCTTAAGAGGTTTTTGGAATCTTGTTGAGGAGTTTGGTTCTTCCCTTGAAATAAATCCAGTCATTCCCAGGATCAAGTTTCCGACTGAGCTCTTTTCTGACCAACTGTCTCCCAAGAGAACAAGCCTTACTTCAGACACTACAAAGAATAAAGATAAGAAGTTTTACAATGGAATCTCAGATATATCTAGCAATCTTTAATTAACAGTTATAAAAATGATAGGACATACAAAAAATATGTTTTAGAAAAAAATTATTCTGTTCACAAGTTTAAAAATCTGTTAAACTTTTTTAAAGGATGTCTTTGGAAATGTCTGGATTATTATATTAGGATTTTAAGATGATCCCATGGGAATTAAAGATCCACAATGAAATCAAAGTGTCCACCCTTGACAATAGACATTTAGTGAATCATTAAAAGTTCTAAATGTATTCATGGTTTGGCTAAATTAAACTGCTAAAGTGAAATATTGAGTAGTTTATCTTTTCTTTTTCCTGTAAACAGTTAAAAAATCAAAAGCCATTAATTGAAACTTACAGTCAGGTGGCAGGAATTCATAGCTCCTGCTCCGTCTCATCAGGCCTGTGAAGAAAAAAAGCAAAGATGTGTTTGATCAATATTTTGATTTAAATTATTGATTTACATCTATCTTAATATGATACATACTATGGTCCTAGGTTTAAATTAAATGATTATAAAGGCATTTACAGTGGGAAGTGTTTATGGATTGTGTTTAATCTTCATTTTAAATATATTTTTATACCTCCCCCAGCCCAGAACAATACAAAGAAAAGGAGCCTAAGCAAATAGAACATTTATGAATTATTTTTCGTTTGATTAAACTGGTAAAACTATTTAAAGCAACCTTGCTCAGGCAGTTAATCTCCTCGTGAAACTAATAACTGATCGAGCCACAGTGAGTTTTCTCTTTCACAAAGAGAGTTTACTCAACCTCTGTTTTAGTCACCACGGTAACATTGAAACAATGTAACAATGTTACTAGGGTAAATTTTTATTTGCATACAATTAAAAAATTAGTCAATGGGTCTGTTTGACCCATTAGGTTTTAAAAACAAATAGTGCATGTCCTTTACACAATGGCCTTATTAAAGAATGATTGGCATCACATAGAATGAATGCTTAACTTTCATATTCAGAAAACTATGTTTATGAGCGCTACTAATTCACGTCACAATCCATCACATACATCCATGTCCTTATCAATCCTTGCATTTCAGCATTATACGGACTTATTTAACAGAACTTGATATCAGGGAGAGAACATTGATGCGTGTGAAAACAGCTTTAGAGAAAATAAAACTGCAGAGTCAGACACTACCAGTCCCAGAGAATGGCTTTAGGGTATATCTCCACTACCTTCAATATTTGTCACATGGATTTAATATTGTGATTAAAAAACAACTTAGCTGACAGGATATGAGATTTTTTCATTTTTAGTTTGCAACATATATATCTTTTTTTCTTTCCTTTTGGTAGAATACATTAAAAGCAACTAAAAATATTTTTAGATTACACATAAATTGATTCCACAGGGGAAAAAAGAACTACCTTAGGGTTAGGATAGGATTATTTCAGGGATACCAACCTACTGAGCCTACTGGGAGGTGGAAGGCACAATGTGACGCCATATGGGACTGATAACCGCTAATAACGGCCATTTATTTGGATGATAACATTCAAATTCAAAACGGCCCCTTAAAATGTGTTAACATTTCTAGGTATATAAAACTTAATTCTAACTAGTACAATTTATTTATTTTTTACTTTCTGAAATTCAGTTTCTGCAGAAAAAGTGTAGTTTTAAAAAATCTGTTATTGCAGTTCCATCTAGGAATGCAATTTTGACCAGGGAGAATCCTATTTCCTACTGATCTACAAAAGGAACAACAGAAAGGAGAGTGCTTTTAATAAATGTTAAATTGGTCTGTCATTTCACACTTCATATAAACTTATGCATTAACTCAAGCAACAATCTTCTCCTTTACCATCTCCCTCTCATGTGCAGCTGTAGCACTTTTGCTTTGTCTTTCAAACACATTCTCCATTTATTTTTTACAATAAAATCTATTCCCAGTGGGATGAAATAGGCACTTCTTGTAGCCTGTTGTCGTGATGACTCGCTGATAATGGCTTTTCATACTGTTACGCACGTGTTGAACTCTGAGTGGACCTACTTAGAGTTGATTTTATGAAACTGAAAACTCAGAGAGGAATTGTTGGCCTGGCTGAACAGATGAGATGTTGTGGTCCACTGTTTCTCGCCTGTTTAGCCAGGCCAACAATTCCCCATAACAACCCCTCTTTTAGAGGCAGAGGCATGTATTGGTTATTGCAGGCTAAAAGAGAAACTACACAACCCCCATTCCTAAGGGGCGGATCCCTTCATCTGGTTCAATATGCATGTTTTCTAAGCTAAAACAAGACTTTTGTTTTGGTCCACCCTATAAAGCCTCGAACTCAATGCTATTTCTCAAAATTTTTAATTAAAAAAATCTTCCTGGATGGAAATCAAAATGTCTTCAAACTTGCAAACAAAGTCCAGTGGATTGTTTTTTAACTTTTTTGGAATCGCTTTATAACCATATTAAAATATCTAATCTTTAGGAAGAGAGTTGTTCCTGACTGGAAGTACAATAAGGAGGGTTCGTGAGACAATATATCTTTATAGGTTTTTAATAGAAAGAACAATAAAAATACAAGATTATGACTGGTAAGAGGAGCTTCAACGCAGATACACAAGAATCCAAATAGGTGTGTCATCAAAGTTTGCTATTTAATCACAAACAGGCTCAAATTGGAAGCAACTAACTGTTTTGTTAGTTAATGTTTTTTTTAAAGGCACTAAAATGCCTTTGCACAAAGATGGTCTCGTAATATTTTTCAGAGGTTCTCTTCTTTACAAAAGAAGCCGAGGTTTGGCTCTAATTTAACAATTCTCTTTCAGGAAAATGGCATCACAGAAGAAATTAAATGGGAAGTAAATAAATAAGTACATAATACTTTAGAATAGCTAATATTTGTTTGAAATAATGATTTTAGCATGTAATCAATTAAAACTCTCAGCAAAATATTAATACATTGTATGAAATATTTTAACTGTACAAAGGCTTAGTATCTATCAGCAATTTTAGAAATGTCCTCCATCCTGGAAATCTTAGTTATGGCCTCCATTTTGTTCTGTTTAATTTAATGACAAGAAAGGGAATTTACTTCAGAAAAAGAGAAACATCATTGCAAAAAAAGTTCAGAAATAATGTAACTTGGGCTGATTTACTTTTAGACAAAGGACCTGATCTTTAAAAAGTTTGGGGTGTTAAAACATGCATATTGTATTAAGAAAAATGTTTGCACACTTAAAGAACTTCAACTCTTTCCCGTTAGTTTTTGTGTATTCTGAGTGTCTAGTTGCCATTATAATTCATGTTTACATATATGGTATTCTGATGTTCATTACATAATATCCCAAAAAGTAAAGCAACATTTTAAATTTTTCCTGGTTATACTTTTAACTCAGTTGTATAAAAGATTCAATAAGAAAAACTTAATAGTGTGGCTTGAGGTGGACTTACCAGCTGCTCTCGTTGCCATGTTGTCAGATCAGCAGTTCCTAGTTTTGGACTTTAAAATTAATCTAAAATACAGATTTTTAGAGGAATTACAAAAAAATACAGAAACAAATTAAATACTTTTTACTGATTCAAGAAAAGGGATTGTACAACCATATGACAAGACCCATTAATTGGAAAAGGCAGTTTTAATTTGGTTTTACATAAAAAGCCTACCCTTACATCAAACCATATGGACACCATAAACCTAATCCACAACTAATCTGCTCTGCAACAGTTTTGTGTGCTTGCTTTTCTGGAGCATAAATATGTGAATCAGCTCAACACGAATATGGAAAAACAACAGACCTTATTATAATCAACATTCAATATGTCATGGATGTTTTCTTGATTTGGTCCAAGTTAAATAACATCCATCAGTTTACGTGTGGATCTTTATATCAGAGCCATTTTACTGTAACCTAAGTCATCTAGATGTCAGGTCTCTAAGAAGCAAAGTGAAAAACAGATCCACAACTATTCAAGTTGTTAAAGTTAATCAAATACAGTATTTTAACAATCATTTTATTGGTTTAACTGTCCCTACAATAAAAAAGCTGAAATAGTTGATATTCAATCCATCTGAACTTCAGACCCTAGATTCCAAACTAACCTATTCAGTTGATGACGAGTTTAGAGAAGAACAAATTCTCACAACACATTATCAAATTTAAAATGAATAACGGTATATTGTTTTTACAGCTTTTTTAAGTACTAGAATTTCTGATTCTGTAATAAATAATGGAAAACAAGATGCACTAATGAATACTTAGCGATGCTCGTCGAGATCATTAACAACATAAAAAGACAAGTTAGCCAAGTGCTTATTTCTATTGTTATTTGGCAGATATTTAACATAAGGTTAAAAGGGAAAAATAAAGTTTTAAATTCACAAATATTACTAGTTTCACCTACCTGAAATGACAGACCGTTGCTTCGTCATCTCTTTCTGAAGCTCCTAACCGAATATGTCCACACCGTCATAAATGCACTGTTCATCCTTACCTGTTACACAACCTCCACTGAGCTGAGTGGATGGGAAGATGAGCTTAGTTAATGATACAATGAAATAAAAAGGTTTATTTGTCAATCCATTGTGTTGTCAGCATTAAAGGAGTCATCATGTTTTCTTGAAAGATAAATAAATATAAAATAAACAAAAAGAAAATATCTTTAAAGTAAGGAAAATCATTGATTAAATAAAAAGCAATAAGAATACAATTCAAGCTGTTTAGAAACCTTTACAGATTCTGCATCTATTTGATTAACAGATATAGACAAGTAGTTATAGTGAAGTGATATTTCTTGATAATTGGCTGAGTCTATGTGTTGTGATGAGTGCCATCTCTCCTTTTGAGTATCTCTGCAGGATGACCTGGAGGCAGCACACCTGTAGCAATCATCTATCAGCTTTATTTCTCTTAAGGAACTGATAGAGGATCACTATTTGCCTGCTGGCCCATGTTGGTTGGTAGAGTCAATCTCTTCAAGTATCAAACATTTTTTCTAGATCTTTTCCTCCTAAGGAAACGTGTTGATTCCTGCTACAACTTTCCAATTGAAACCCACATAAGCGCCAGCTCCCAGTTTGCATTTCCATTTAACACAGAAGTGGGCATTATAATAACAATGGATATACTTTTGCATAAAGAGACACTTTATACATGGTTAGAAAGCTTAGATTCTCCTCAGTTCAAACACCAGGATAATTTTATTGACACACAGCAGTAAAACACAATCAATCAATCAATAAATCTTCTTTATTGTCATATACAATTTACATTGCAATCGAAATTTCAGTTTCAGTGAAACCGTTCATCAAAATACGCCTCAAACATTAGGGTGGGGGGGCTAAGAGGGGGGAACGGATCTACTGAGGCCATGCGTGCCACAGACAGCTGCCTTTCGGCAGAACGGCATATTCTTATGGCTTTCCAGTGTAACAATTGTTCAACATTTGCTGTTATTTTCTGTTTATAAAGTGTTTGAAATTCCACCAAAACCTTATTAACACAAAATAACTTTTGTTTCAGTTATATTTGATGAGTTATACGTAATTTGTTAAGTTTTACTTGAATCCAAGAGTCAGAACAGAAAAGCAATTTAAAACACAATAATAATGGTACAAAAGCAGAGCAAAGCTTAGGTATGAAAAAAGCAACTGTGACTCCATTTTCCTGTAACCATATTATAGGAGCAATCTTCAATTGTTAATTGTCGGAGACATATTGATGTTGTTCTGGTTGTAAGATACATGATTTTCAAAATATCTTAGAATTAATGATAATTTATACTTGGATAATAAAGTTAGATTTGAACACAAGTATCACTGACAGAGAAGAGTTTGATAAACAATTGAACTTATCTCATCTGTTTGTAACAGTTTCTTTGATCTCTAGATAGCAATGACTTGGATTTATGTAGGTTTGATGTAACAAAAAAGGAAGCTTTGGTGTAGTTAAGCTAGTTTTGTCATTTTGTTTTAGCTTAGCATGTTTTATTTCTCTGGTGGGTAACATCTGTGTAGTGGAGCTTAAGTTAATTTGGAATAACTTGTAGGTTAGCTCACTACATTTCCTAAGTAATGTTGCATAACACTGAGAATATAGCAATGTATCAAATCAAATCAAACTGCATAGTCTAAAAATATCTGAAATAAAATAGGGGAAGGAGGTACAGCCCTAGGAAATATTGGGTACAGCTCTCATTATATAGTACTCGCTTGGTACCGTATGTTGTGCCAATGTACCCGCAAACCGCCCTACTGCATAAGTAAAGAACTCCCAGCAAAATTCCTAACACTGACCCATATCTTTTTCGTACCTATGAAAGATATTTCTAATGATAACTGCATCAAACTAGCAGAAATAGACATTAAATGAAAGCATAGATTCCGTAGAATCAATTGTNTAGCTTAGCATGTTTTATTTCTCTGGTGGGTAACATCTGTGTAGTGGAGCTTAAGTTAATTTGGAATAACTTGTAGGTTAGCTCACTACATTTCCTAAGTAATGTTGCATAACACTGACAATATAGCAACGTATCAAATCAAATCAAACTGCATAGTCTAAAAATATCTGAAATAAAATAGGGGAAGGAGGTACAGCCCTAGGAAATATTGGGTACAGCTCTCATTATATAGTACTCGCTTGGTACCGTATGTTGTGCCAATGTACCCGCAAACCGCCCTACTGCATAAGTAAAGAACTCCCAGCAAAATTCCTAACACTGACCCATATCTTTTTCGTACCTATGAAAGATATTTCTAATGATAACTACATCAAACTAGCAGAAATAGACATTAAATGAAAGCATAGATTCCGTAGAATCAATTGTATAACAGATTTACTGGTAAATCCTCCCATGCTTTGTCTGTGGCAACAAAAAAACAATACAGTTTTGTAGGACCCACTTTGTCAAATCCGGTGTGTGGGTAATCCTGTTTGATTCAGTTCATATTCAAAAAAACGAGTAATCCCCATGTAAGACAAAAAGAAAAAAAAAAAACATCTTAAGGCTTAACACAATTTATTCCAATCAAGTTTAACAGAACAATTGATAATGACCGTGTCATATAGAGCAACAACTACTATACTCAAGCTTGGTTCTCCTCCATCAGCTGAAGGAAAGAGATGTCATGATTGCAGCCCTGGTATCTAATCTAATTACTAACCTCATTCGGTGTGTGGGGAGAGCCGGTTTTAAGTCCCATGATCCTGGCTCCTGGATGGAGCCATTTAAAAGTTCTTAATTTCTCCTGGTACCATGCCTTGTCTCTGTTCCTTTCAACCACTGGCGTGTCTATCTGAGCTTGCTGCTGGACTGTTAGAACTCTGAACCTACCTTAATGCTCTCTGGATTCCTGGAACCCTGGATTTGTCTGTTCCCGTTTGGATTGGAAACCCTGGTCGGGCTACGGGTTCCTGGATCTCAGAGGAGATGGACTGAACTGTTAGACCACTGTGCCAGTTGATCAATGCTACCAAACGTGGTTATTTTTCATTAGCTCACCTACTGTTAGGGCTGTCGCCATCATATTTGTTTTCTTTTTTACTCTGTCCGATTTATGTGGTCACTAATCAGAGTTTTCCTTTTGCAGAGGTTTCTTCATTTTTAATAAACGTGTTTGAGAAATTCACCTGTCTGTTTGCTTTGAATTCTGGATAGGAGTAAACAGAACAAAGCTAGGGGAA